CCTGAGACTTGGCTCTAATCCCTTCCCAATGTCACCAAGAGCCTACCCAGCAAGCATGAATACGTACATGAAACTCACTTCTGCCTTCCATTCCCCACTGATCTTGACATTGGCGCTGATGGAGACTTTGAGGCCCTCATTGGGCACCAGTGTTATCTGAGAACTGGGAAGGCGGACGTCCCTGATTACCAGGCTGCAAAAGAAAAATGTTCAGTCAGCCTTCTGGGTCCCACATGAGGACTCAGCTAACAGCTAATGCACTCATTCCTCCCTCCTGGTCCTTCATCCCATCCATTCCAGGGGGGCCAGTTCTGAGAGCAGCCTTGGCAATTAGGAGGGGGGAACTTCAAAAAATTCCTGGGAAACGCATAGTATGAAAAAGCTATCATGAATTTTCATTTTTTTTCCCACCAAAATGAACTTGTACTTTAATTCCATTTTTCCCACAAATCTTTTGATGTGCCCTATTTGTGGGCACTGGAGTGGCTTGCACTTTGAAGTCAGACAAATCTGCATTTGAATCCTGCACTCCAACTTACCATTAGGCTGCCTTGGGTGTGTCCTTTAATTAGCCGGAGCCTCAGTTTCTTCATTTGTAAAATGGGTACAGTAATCTCTGTTTCGTGGGGTATGACAAGCCACTGTGATAGCAAAAGTTATCTCATTGGCTAAAAGCCATATGACCAATTACATACGTGTCTGTGGCTTATCACTACTGTAACCCCAGAACCTGCTACGTCGGACACATCGTGTGTACTCAAACATCTGTTGGATGAATGGGTATGCAAAATCCTGTAGAGGGCATTGATGGGCTTTCTGCCCAACACCCAACCCCTCTTTTCATAATAACAGAACTGCTATTTTACTCCAGGGGAGTCCCTCCCCACATGTCTTCTGTGCTACCGTAATAGGCCACATTAGATTTTATATATAAATAACTGTTTGTCTTTTTTATTATTATTATTATTTTAACATGACTGTCTGCTTCTGTAAACTTACTTACTCTTCCCATAAAAAAATAATACTAGCCATATAAAAAACCATATCCAAGACGACATCCTGTACCTACTACTGTCTTTACTAACTAGCCCCAAACCCTTTTGTTTAACAATAACTACTTACATAAAAACCCCACTCCCCTCAAAAATACTTAACCTACTTGATTCAACTTCTATAACTACTTACATAAAAACCCCTAATAACTGACCCCCTATAAAATGACTATTCAAACTTCAGTCAAGACTACAATTCTGACTCTTGGTCCCTAGCCTCAGGCTATAGTCACTGGCCAACTAATAAAAGCTCCCTTTAAACTTAATCTGACTTTAACAGTCGTTCATTCGAGGACACTCTACAACACTACTCCCAAGAAGACTGGGTCAGTGTCTGAAGGTCTGGAGATGTGAAGACGCTGGGATTTAGGCTTAACTAATTAGCATATTCTATTCCCTGGCCACAGCGATTGGTTTAGGTGTGTGTACATAACCTAAGGTGGCCCAATCAGAGTGAATCTGAGGGCTTTTGTCTGCGTAAGAAGGGCTCTCAAGGAGATTTAGCAAGAGATGCTGGTGGCCATCTTGCCTCTGGAGGGGACACTCTGCCTGAGAATTAGGCCTCTCCAAGGAAGTGGTAGGGTGGTAGCAATAGGGAAACAGGGCCAATGACTTTTGACTCTGCCTCCAGCTTAAACCTGAAGTCAGACCACTCTGGGGATCTTTCAGTCATGTGAGCCAATAAAGTCTGACTTAGGCCATTTTCTATTAGATTTTCTGTCCTTGAAAGCTCCCAAATTCTGATTACTGATGAGCCTGACACAGAATTTTGGGGTTCCTGGCATATTCCCTGGGAGTCATGGTGAGCGTGTGAGAGTTTTTGTGGCTTCCTCCATGCTCAACTTGGGGGTCGTGTCCCCTTGGGCTTTGGGATCCTAACTCTGTGAGCTGAGGGTTGGTGGGCCTGTGGGTCTGGGTCTTGGGACTCACCCGTAAAAGTTGCAGTTCCCTTCCCCAAGGCGCTTAACCATAAAGGCTCCTGAGAAATTGGGAATCGTGATATTCTTCAACTCCTTCTGCAGCACGGCCACTCCCTGCTGGGAGGCTAGGGGGAGACAGCAGGGGTGATGATCAGAGGAACAGCCTGGAACCTGGGTTGGAGGGTCAGGGTAGGCTCTGAACCCTTGGCTCCTATGTAGGCAGGGACAATGGGGCTGGAAGGGCCTGATGCAGGGGTCAGGTATGGTTTTCTATAAAGGCCCAGGGAGTACATATTTTCAGCTCTGTGGGTCATACTGTGACCCCACACGGCCAACTGCAGTGCAAGCCCCAGATCTGGTGGCTTGAAACTCACGCTGGGCATGTGTGCATGTGTGCCCAAACTATCAAGAGGAAAGTAGAGGAGAAGGTATTACAACATGGCTATCCCCTCTGCGGGGGGGGAGGGGGTGATTTTTCACTTCTCTGTCTGTCTCTCTCTCTCTGGCAAGCACATGCACCATAAGGCAAAAGCCTCTAAAAAAAAAAGTAAACAGTACATATTTGGTTGCCTCCTGGAAGGGAAAGAAAATGTAAGCTGGACAGATCTGTAAGTTGGGGGGATCAGAACTTGAAAAAAATAGAGCACCAGGCCGAAGGGTCAAGATAGCTTCTGAGGGTACTAGGGAGCCATAGAATAGTATAAGCAGAGAGGAGAACATGAACAGATTTGCTGCACTTCAGAAAACTCACTCTGGTTGTCGCATGGGGCACAGATAGAGGGGAAACTGAGGCTGCCATGACAGAGCATCAGGACTTCTCTGCTTAAAACCTTTGTCTTAGCCTCTGCTTCCAGTAAGCTTCCAGGGCCACCTGAACCTCTGGGTTCAGAGCAGGGCCATGATCCTCTGTCTTAGCTTAGGAAGGGCCTGCATCCCTGGGATGCGACGATGCTCTGAGTGGGCAGGAGTAGGAATTCTGGCCCTGAGTTCCCGTCCCAGTCCCCAGTGTACACCAGAGGATGAGCCTCTGCCTTGCCCTGGTCTGATTTCTCTGGGGCTGGCTACCACCCCAGCTCTGCATTTCCTCTCTCTGCCATGGGGAGGTGGTATTGAGCAGCCTACGCCTAGGACCTGAGAGCTCCAGTGCAGGAAGCTGCCAGTTGCCCGTGTCCCTTCTCAGTCAGGTTTGCTCATCCCTCAGTGCTGACAGTAACAGCGCATGCCCCAGAGCCCAAGCAAGGATGAACGAGCCGGCATGTGTGACCCTCTCAGCACGGTGCTGCCCAGGTCACAAGTGTGTGCGAGGGGGGGTGAGCTGTTTCCTGCCACTCTCTCCTCAGTCAGGGGAGGAGGCTGAGGGATGGGAGGAGACACCCCACCCCCACAGCCACACAGTGGGGTACTGTGCACAATATGGTAGCCATCCCCTGTGTTGGGGGAGCTCTCCCCACGATCCCCCTCCCTTGCTCGGCCTCCTGAACATCTAGAAACAACGGCAAGCTGAGAACGGCTTTGGAAAGATCACAAGGTCCTCAGAGTCTGAAGTGGGGCTCAAGTGACAGCAGAGAGGGGACCCTGAGCCCCAGCCTGAGCACTGGACTTGGGGTTCTGTAGCCCCTGCTCTGCCACTTGCCAGCTGCGATCTTGGGCAACTCACTTCACGTCCTTTATTCATGTGTGAAGTGGGGGAAGGAGGCCTACCTTGTGAAATGGTCAGTATACCATGCAGGATTTAAAGGGCTGCACACAGTAGGTGCTCAATACGTGCTCCACAGGGTGGGAAAAGAGGAAAGGGAAGTATCCAATTACCATAGTCCAGGCCCTTCTGGGAGATCCTGGCCACGAAGCCAGGGATGGTGGTCGCTGTCACAGCTGTGGCCGCGGTAGCCAGCACGACCAGGGCTGCCCCTCCGAGCACGTTGTCAAGGCCCCTGGCCATGTCCTCCCTGCTCCTCCAGAGCTGTTGAAAGCACAAGCCTTGAAGGGGAACCTGGAGCCTGTAAAGGAGCTGGTTGGGGAGATGACAGTCAATGAAATGTGAAAACGAGGAAGGAATCTGGGAGGGGGCAGGGGCCAGAGCGGGGCTGGACGGCTGTGGTGACCCATCACAGCGGGGGCCGCAGCCTGTTTTCAATACACAATATGTACTGAATGTCCCCCTCACGTGTACACGTGCGCATGAGTGTGTGCAGGTATGTAGGTTGGTTTCCTTCCCAAGCACCCCATTCCCTCTCTGAGCCCTCCCACCCATGTGCCCCCTTCGAGGACTTGGTTGAAGCTGGGTGGTGGTACCTCAGGGGCCACTATATTTTTCTCCCTTTGATATTTCCCACAGTGAAGCGTTACGAAAACAGAACCTTTGGTGTTTTCTTGTCCTGAGAGGCAGTGGTGGTAATGATAAAACCCTTAGGCTTTGGCATTTAGGATCTTGGCTGTGGTTTGAAATCTTAGCTTTGGCCCTCAATAGTGACCTGACGTTAAGGGAACCCGCTGGCCCCTCTGAACTCAGTTTCCTCTTCTGGAGAGTGGGGAGAACACTAGTACCTTCCTTCCTTGGTAGGAAGACTGAAGGTACTGAGGTACGAGCTGAAGACACCGTGAGCTTTAAGCCACACTTAGCACAATGCCCCGGCAGCTGTTAACTGTCACTCTGACTTCAAAAGTAATCCACATTCAGAGGACCAGCAGTTGGCGTAATGGCTCTGTCACTGGGCGCCCATGTAGTCGACCACTGTTCAAGTCCTGGACCTGGTGGCTTAAACTCACGCTGGGCACGTGTGCGAGCATGCCCAGGATCCCGAGAGGAAAATGAAGGAGAAGGGATTGTGGCACAGTCATCCCCCCTCCCTGGGGGGCATTTCTCGCTTTCTTTCTCTCTCTCTGTCTCTGTCTTTCTGGCGACTGTACGTGCCTTATAGCAAAACCCTCTCCAAAAGAAAAAGTAATCCACATTCACTAGCCAAAATTTGAGAAAGAAATAAGACAGAAAAAACGATGTTAATTCCTTCTTCCAAAAACAAGCAGAAATGGATTCTGAAGAATTTCTTCACTCTTCTGCTTTACTCCTGCTTTTTGGGAGTAAGCATAGGTAGACAGTCCATGTTTTTGTTTTTCAACAAATATGGGATCACACGAAGTTCCTTTCTTCAATAAATAATACGTACTGAGTGTTCTCTCCCATCATTAAATATTTTATTGCTTCCTCTCCCCACTGTTTTTTTTTTTTTCCCAAACCAAGCTTTTGCTTTTAAACATTTTTACCCGTTCTGACAGATGCAGAACCTGAGGCTTCTCGAGGGAATGTGTCCTTCCCGCAGTTACACAGCAGGCTGCTGGCAGAGCTGTGTCCACACAGAGCCCACCAGACACATCCCACCACCAGTCCTGGAGGACTGGGGGTCGGAGACCCTCCCCACTCCACCCCAGTTTTCCAGATGGTCTGTCTGCACAGCCCCTGTCCTGCCTTTGCAGAGGCCTCAGGCTTCTGGCGGGCGGAAACCCTGCTGGGCAGCTTTTTGGGTTTCCATGGTGATGAGAGGAGGGGTGGTAGGGCCCTAGAGGGGGCTACCAGCTTCTCTCCCGCTGGGTCCCCATCAGCCCCCTGGTGCCCTGGCTCCCTGACTGATTTTATGAAAGTCTAATGAAGCCTGCTGAGCCCCAGGACTGAGACCTTCTGGTTTTCCTTCTCTTCTCCTGGTTCTAAAAGGGCCCCCCTTCCTCTGTCTGCAACAATTGGAATCCTGGCTTGCTTCAGAAGGAAAAAGTGGCCATGCGTGGACCGTCTACTTCGAACTGTACATGTATCCTCTCCATGCTTAACAACTCATGAGGGGGCCAACCAGTAGCATAGTGGTTAAGGTAGCTAGATCCACATGGCTGACTTCATGGTTCGAGTCCCAGACTCAGCAACTTGAAAAACACATTGGGTATGTGTATGTGTGTGCCCACAATTCTGAGAGGAGAATGGAGGAGATAGGGTTGCAGTGTGTCCATCCTCCAGGGGAGGGGGGTTTCACTTTCCTCTGTCTCACTCTTTCTCTTTCTGTCTCTAGCAAATTCACATGCCCTTTAGCAAACCAGAAAGAGAAGGAGACACACACAGAGAGAGAGAGAGAGAGAGAGAGAGCAGTCCACCCGTGAGGGACGATTAGTCTGTTTTGGAGACAAGGAAACTGAGTCACAGAATGATTAAGTTACTGTCTTGGTCGCTTCTCCCCCTACCTGGAGCAGCTGTCAGGATTGTCGTCTTGGGTCCTCGCCACAGTCGTCTCTTCCTTCAAACAACTTAGGCCCCAGAAGTCAGGAGACTGTATCTGTACAAGGAAGAGGCCTTTAAATAGCAGCCGCAATGTGCAGATCAGTTCCGTGTCATGAACTTAAATTTTTGAAAACTTATCGTGCACACTTGGAATACCTCCAGCTCTTACCTGCCCTCGGTTCCCGAGCCTTGCATGCCTAGGCAGCTGTCACCTCCATGAGGGTGTCGGAGAGGAATGAGAAGGCTAAATCACATGATGGTGACTTTCGCTGCTGTGAAATTGCAATCCTAAAACCAGCCGGCAAGGAGGTCTGAACAAGCCACCCTCCCACCCTGACTTTCCTAACGGCACGTGCCCAGCCAAGTCTGGATGGGCCTACTGATGACTCTCTGTCCCCCGTCTTTGGCACTGTGGCTGGCCATGGAGGTACCCACTGCTTCAGATCTGACATTCTACCCTGTAGCACAGACAGTGTCTTCAACCTAAGTAACAGAAACCCCAACTCATGTTGGCTTCAACAATTCTTATCTCAGTGACATCTAGAAGTATTCTAGTTGACCCAGCAGCTAACTGGAAGGCTCTCTTATAGTGTCTCAGATTTGCTCTCACATTGGCTTCTTTCATGGTTGTAAAATGACTGCAGTGGCTCCAGCCATCACATCTAAACAGACTTCTCCCCACTCCCTCCTCCTTTTTGTCTTTTCTTTCTTCTCTTTCTTTCCTGTTTCTTTCTTTCTCTTCCTTTGTTCCTTTCTTTTTCTTCATTTCTTTCTTTCCTTTTTTTTTGGTCGGCTATGCCACAATCCCTTCTCCTCCATTCTCCTCTCAGGAATTTGGGCACCCACATGTACATGCACAGGGTGTGATTTTCAGGCCAATATGCCTGGAACTTAAGCAGCGCAACCGGCCATGCGGGGTCCAGCCGCGTTCTTCACCATGCCACTTGCTGACCCCTCTCTCTCTTTTTGAGGGCAGGCTCCATATATTGAGTTCTTATCCTCTCTCCCTCTTCACCTTATCTTCCTGCTGGTCCAGCTGGACCTCAGGAACATCTTGTGACCATGACCTTCACCTCAGGGGGCTGGCTCACAGTTGGGGCTATTCCAGAGGTAAGTGCACCCCTCCCACATAGACATCAGGGTTAGGGCATTGGCACCTAAAAGCTGACCTTTTATTGTAACCTTCAAGCAGTGTATATACAAACCAGACCCCTGTCTTGGTGGCTGAAAATGTGCATCGATCCATAATTGATTTATGAATAGTGTCTTCTTAACATATATAACCTGAGGCTTTGCTCAATGACTGCGTGGACCATTCCGCTGTCCTCGGTGGCACATCCTGTCCTGTGTAAGTAAACTCATGTCTTCTCCTGTGGGACCTGTAAGTGTTGTGTTCTTTGGAAGGGATAAACCTTCCAGGCAAGCCCTCCCAGTTCTGGGGCTTCTACAACACTTCTTCTAAAGTTGCGAAACTTCTCAAATATATATCCAAGGAAACTTTAAACATTTGGGGGAAAATGAAATCAAAGTACAAGTTTATTTGAATGCAAAAACATATTTCGAAGCCCCATGCAGCTCCTTCATAATATATAGTTTCCATCAATTTTCTGAAGACTCTTACACAATGAGTAATGTCCCATGCCGACGTCCTATCATATCTTTTGGTTTGGAGATTTGAATGCATGGATAGATAGAAATGTGGAACTGGGACCTCAGTCAGGATATGGAATAGCTCCATCATGACTGTCCTCCAACTCTCCTATGCTATTCTTCTTCTTTTTAAAAATTATTTTATTTAACTTTATTTATTCATTCATTTATTTATTTCAATTTGACCAGAGAGGGATAGAGTGAGAGGGTGAGAGGGAGAGCGAGAGAGAGAGAGAAAGCAAGCTGCCAGGTCCAGGACTTGAACCACAATCGGCCATGTGGGAGTCCAGCATCCTCAACCACCAAGCCACCTGCCAGCTCCTCTCCTATGCTATTCTAGCCCCAAATGGCATAGACCACAGGAAAATATACGATCTCAGTGGGCATCTATAGGGGTAGGATGGGCAAGAGCTGGTCAATTCAGGGGCTGGTTCTCCCTATTGTCCGCTTTGCTGTCCTTGCTCTGTTGACTTTGTCCAGAAGGACGTGAATGGGATTCAGAGCCAGGCAGACCCAGCCATGCTGCCTACTACCTGTGTGGGCCTCTGACCCCTTTGAAATGTGGGCTCTTCATTGAAAGGTGGGGAAACAGTACCCATCATGAGGGTCGTTCTGAAGATGAGATGAGAAAACAGGTGTAACTCAACCTGTCTGGATAAGATGCTCAGAAAATCGTCATCCCCCCCTGGCTGTAGAGCCCTGAAGCCTCCGGGAAAACACAGTAGGAATGCCACGCACTGAGCTCTTGGTCATCTGCCCTTGTTTTGGGCTGGGTAAGTGCAGAGAGAGAGTAATTCATGGTTCATGTGGCTTCTGGGAGCCTCCCGTTTGGCCAGTTGCTTTGAGGAGAAGGGGTCACTCTATCTTTAGAGGCCCTCAGCAGCACCCCAAGGTGCTGAGGAGCAGAGCTGGGAACCTTGCCAACCTGGGCCTGAATCCCAGCCCTGCCACGTATTTAACTGTGCGACGTTGAGCACATTTTGCTGAGCCTCAGTTTCCCATTTGTCCTCGTACACTGGCCAAGGCCCTTCATTAGATCTGAGGGTTCAGGTTTAAAGTGAGGCCATCCCCATGGCCATGAGCATCCTTCTCCTTTCC